TTTTTTTTTTTTTTTTGATTCAATATTTCACTCTGTCATCCAGGCTGGAGTGCAGTGACACATTAACTGCCACTGCAGCCTCGACCTGCTGGGCTTAGGCAATCTTTCTGCCTCAACTTTCCAGGCAGCTGGAACCACAGGCGTGTGAGACTACACGCAGCTAATTTTTTGATTTTCTGTAGAGACGAAGTCTCAGCATGTTGCTCAGGCTGGTCTCAAAACCGTGAGTTCAGGCTATCTTCTCATTTCTGCTTCGAGCCACTGAGCCCAGCCAGAAATAATTTTCTATGACCACATTTATTCCAAAGAGAAAAAAGGAAACAGGCCAAGTTCTTGAGTACTCATTCAGAAACAGTCAATTTATTCCAATTATCACTCAGCTTATCAAGGGCTAAGTCACCATTATTATGGAATGAGCTATATATGCAGTCCTTTAGTCCTCTGTCCAAAAAATACTTTTAAGTGTCAGGTCTTTACAGTTTACGGACTTGACACTAACATACTTCTCTGCCTTGATGTTATCATGAATGAATCAAGGTGGCAGGACTAAGTTAGCTAGAAGTCAGTATCAGAAATCAGGTAGATGTTTCTTAGTCAATGACAACAAGCAATTATCTTAAGAAGTAACTCTTACCCAAGTCTACCTAGACAGAAAATCAACACCCAGATATTCAGTTACCTATAGAAGAGCTCACCCTTGTTATATACGTTTTCATTCTAAAATAACTCAAGTTTCAGTAGCAAGCCAACATTCTACCAGCCACGATGGGAAAGCCATGAAAAGGCAATAAAGGCAGTCAGTACCTGCACTGATCCCCCATGGCGGTCTGCAGCCAAGTGAGACGTCAGGTATGAGGTATTGGTCTGCCGGCTGGGCTGAATTTCCCACTCTCCTCGGCGCTCTGAAGAGGCAGTCTGCTCAGGCATTAGGAAGCATGAGAGCAAGGAGGAAAGGTGAAGCAACAGCAAGCAATAACAAAATTAAGTACATTAGTGTCCTGGTGAATTTTCTTTGTGTTTTGAGTTTTAAACTAACAAATCACTGCAAAGCACTGAGAAAAAGTAAGCTTGGTTACATTCATTTCAGTCTAGTAAGTCAGTTAATACCTGAATCTATAGCACACCATCCTCTCCCAGTCACCGAAAAACAAGAACCAAAAGAGGGGAAAAGAAAAGAAGACCACCAAAAACTGGAATCACCTTTAGCTTCCATACAAGTAAAATTTCAGTAGCCACTAAGCAGATAAAATTCAGAATGCTAAGATAGGACAAAAGAACAATCATATATATAAATCATTTAATAGATTACAGATATGTCTTAATACAGCAGTCCCCATCCTTTTTGGCATCAGGGACTGGTTTCATGGAAGACAATTGTTTTACAGGTGAGGGTGGAGGGGGAGGATGTACAGTCAAACTTCACTGCTAATGTTAATCCGTATTTGCAGCCACTCCCCAGCACTAGCACTATGGCTTCAACTCCATCAAGCAATAGATTCTCACAAGGAGTGCAACCTCTTGCACATGCAGTTCACAATAGGGTTTTTACACCTATTAGAATCTAATGCTGACTCTGATCTGACAGGAGGTGGAGCTCAGATGGTAGCGCAATGGGGAAGAAGTTGTTTCGTTCACTGGCTCACCTCCTGCTTTGTGTGTGTGTAGAGGGGGGCAGGGTGGAGACCCTTAATAGGCAATGCCAAACATTCTTTTCCTTAAATATTCCTTTTCCTTAAATAAGGAGCCCACTATTCTCAAAATTAATCTCCATGGAAGTCTGTACTAAAACAAAATGAGCAGTAGCTGGAATATGCTTTCTTACCAAAAGGAATGAACAAAGTATCTCTTCCAAAGAAAGTTCACATGTCAAGAATATGAAGAGATGGGAGGATAAAAATAAGGATACATTGTTTGCCTGGCTCCTCTAGCTTACAGCCTCTAGGTGGGACTTTGAAAAAGTTTACTTATTGTCATGGTTACTATGAATCATTTTCTCCTAGAAAGCAAAAGGCAGATCTTTTCTAAGCAAAAGGTGGCCTTCACTGGAAACCTCCTTGGATTCTGCTTTCTGGAAACCTCCTTGGATTCTGCTTTCACCTTTGCTGCCATTCATACTTTCTCCAATTCCTCTTTACCTGGTGTTTAGATCTCATACTATTCTGATCTTGCTCTTATGTGACTTTTGTTCTGAAGAATCTGTTTAAGTGCCTCTTCTCCTGTGCCAGATGGCTGAGGAGGTGTTAACATCATCATGCTCAGCTGTAACAGTCCTAAGGCTCTACAAAAATAAAAAATGAGTAGTTGGAGAGGTGGCAATAAGGGATTAGTAAGTCAAATTTTAATTGCTGCTGGTATAAACAGCAGCAGGGGTTGGGATGTAATATTACTGCTTTGCATGAAAATCAGTAAGGAAGCTATAAACCTTAGAATTGTTCACAGCTATAAAAGTTGTATTCTATACAAATGAAAGAGCAAGGAAGTAATAATTTCAAGCTCTATATTCACTCTTCCTTTCAGCATCTCATTGAAAGGAGTTGCTTAAAGTCACCAAAAAGGCATTTCCCATAACAGAGCTTCATATACAGCTACAACTTACTCATCTTCATTAATGGAAATTGAGGTCACATGGGTAATAGCACTGTAGAGGATCCTGGTCATGTTTTCTCTGGTATTACTCAGGGATGAGCATATATTCTACAAGAAGGCAGCTATAGGACGGGCACAGTGGCTCACACTTATAATCGCAGCACTTTGGGAGGCCGAGGTGTGAGGATTGCCTGAGCCCACAGGTTCGAGACCAGCCTGGGCAACTTGGTGAGATGTCATCTCTATAATACATCAAAAAATTAGCCAGGCATAGTGGCACGTGCCTGTATTTCCAGCTACTTGGAAGGCTAAGGCAGAAGGATTGCCTGAGCCCAGCAGGTCAAGTCTGCGGTGGCTGGGAGCGTGCCACTGACTTCTGGCCTGGGTGACAGAGACTCCAACTCAAAAAAAAGAAGGCAGCTGTATTAACTTGACTGCCACACAATTATATAAATGAGTGCTTTGGTTATGCACTGTCAGTCACATTAGAAAGAATCAAAGTTATTCAACTTTATTCCCCTACTCCAATTATTTCTACCAACAAAGGTTTGGAGATTTCATTTTCCCAAGTAAGACTGTGGTATATAACATAGTATTTTATAAACTTATTGACAGTATCTATATCCTCGAAGCACTTAATCTCAGTTATTCTGACTACTGGAGAACTGAGAATAAATTTCTTCTTCTTCTTCTTTTTTTTTTGAGTTGGAATCTCACTCTGTCACCCAGACTGGAGTGCAGTGGCCACTCCTGGTCACAGCAGCCTCGACCAGCTGGGCTCCGGCAATCCTTCCGCCTCAGCCTTCCAAGTAGCTGGAACTACAGGAGCGCGCTACCACGCCCGGCTCATTTTTGATTTATTGTAGAGATGAGGTCTCGCCAAGTTGCCCAGGCGGGTCTCAAACCCGCAGGCTCAGGCAATTCACTCACCTCAGCCTCCCAAAGAACGGGATTACAGGCTGAGCCACCGAGCCCGGTTGCCTGTTTATCTTTTAAAGTGAGAAAAATAATGTTAACATTCTAGATTGCTTCACAAATGCTTCAACTATGAAAAAGAAAAAACACTCTGTACCATACTACTGCCTGCCAATGTCTTCTGTATCTGTTGAAAGCAACAAAACTATAGAAGTGAATCTGGGAGTTGTTGATTTATTACTTTGGAAGCTACTTTTCATTAAAATGCTAAACTCTAGGGCTACTACTGTTTTGTGGAATTTAAGGGCTTGGACTGATATCTATAGGATAATGTAGTCAAAAAGGCCAACTGCCAGTTTTAGGACCTAACGGAATGCCTAAGAGATGGATGAAACCAAGGAATGTCAACAGCTACCGTAACTACTCCTGAAAGGTATTCTAGGCAACACTGTGTATACAAGTATTATGATTAGGCATGATCAAGCACAGAAGTTAGTTAGACTAAGCAAACCACAAATCATACATAAATCTTTCATTCTTTTTTTTTTTTTTTTGAATTGGAGACATACTCTGTTGCC